TGAAAAACTCATAAGACCATGCTATCAAAAGAGTAAAATTGGAACTTATTTAATACCTGATCTGATTGGGTGATCCAGTTGATTTCGATGCCAGCCTACTCTGATTCACACTGTTTATAGTTTTCCAAAAAGCATATAAAAAAATAAAATGTGATTTTGTAGACTTTAGTTAGCTCTGAATACTCTTGGGTCCATCAGCTATTAGTCCTACTGGAGGAAAAAAAATCAAACACCTGAAAACAAAATAAAAACATGCCACAGATATCTTACTAGCTCTTTTTTGTTGTTGTTCAGATGCATGGATTGACTGGAGTAAGGAAGCTCTGGATTCCATGTAACATCTAGTACGGTCCACATAAGATATGATGAGAGCATTCAGAAAAGCAAAAATTTAACAGCTGTCTAAATTTGATCCTGAAACGAGAAATTTTAATTGCTAGAACTTTTAATTGCTAGTCTCTGCTTTTGTCCAAGTCGGTAAGAGAGTTGAAAATATTTTATTTTTTAACTTCCCATTTGACTATCACCATAGAAAGTATATTTTTGCTTTTTAAACTATCTCATGAGGATTTTATTTTATATTGAATTCTCTTACCAAAGAACTGATCCTTTATCACTGTAAAATCAGTCTGATTTTTGTGAACTAGAACAGGTTCAACGTAATCTTCCATGAAGCTAGAAACAGAGGATGCAATAGCTGCCTTAATTAAGTAAGAAAATGCTCAGAAATCAGAGTCGGTCAGTGTTTTTCTTAAGCGTATCATTTTTAGATAACAAGAAAGAGAAAAAAAAATGTGGTTGAGTACCTACCAAATGCCATAACTTGTCAGGTACCTTATTTATAGGAAAGAGCTTCCAAAAGTTTATTAAAAATGTCATCATCATCATTTAAAAAAGTGGTTATCTTTAAATCCTGCTTTCCACAAACTTTCTGAAGCATCCTGGTACATTAGCTCCTTTAATCTTGTGAGTTGGCACTGTGGTTTTAGTGCCACTAATGAGAGAAAACTGACTCAGATATAAATTCTGAAAAGTTCAACGCCAAGGTCTAGTAGATGGTGGCACTAGGGTTTGGAGTCAACTTTGATTCTAAATGTATACCCTTTCCACAACTATAACTATTCTATGGATAGCAGACTTCAGAAAATATGTTTCTGGTATCCATTGATCTGAAATGCAGCTGGAATTTAGCTTTTGAGAAACTCTTGGCAAATGACCATGGGATTAAAAAGGCAGTGGCAACCAAGGTGTGCCTTCTGCAACTGATGTCCACAGACGTCTCAATAAACCATAGGCTGTGCCCTTGGGAATTTGCTAATCCTGAAGTTTCCATGTTTGTTAAATAAGAAAGCTAGATGAAACAAGTTTTAAATGTTTACCAGGCTCCACAATTCTGATGGTGAAAGGGAACTAAGACACACATAGGGAGTGCTATGAAAAAAGATTGAGCATGCATTTTAATATTCTTTGCACTCAAATAAACCTCTAATTCAATTTTCCATGAACCATTTGAAACCTCATGGTATAATATAAATACTAATTCCTAGCTTCCCTGCCACTTTCCTTCCTGATATATTTACTAGATGAATTACCTTTCCCTCCCTCCCTCCGTTCTTTCCTTCCTTCCTTCCTTCCTTCCTTCCTTCCTTCCTTCCTTCCTTCCTTCCTTCCTTCCTTCCTTCCTTCCTTCCTTCCTTTCTCTCTCATTCTCTCTCCCTCTCTCTGTCTTTTGTTGCCCTTTAAGAGTCTAGACTACCAGAACTCAAAGAAGAAATGCATTTCACATTTAGCATGCCTCCCAATTCCCATCAAGCTGTCCTAAGCATGTGGTTACATTAACTATATAGTTCGGAATCTAAACCTTGAAAAGGAAATAAAATCTTTAAGTAAAGGCAAGCAAAGAAGAAATAGCATTTTTAAAAAGATGAGTATTGTGAATATTAGCTTAATCATGCTGTTAGTAGCCTGACATTACACAGAATTATAAAAGCACTCCCTTTTCTTCTTGTACATATGAAATCTATGAAACTTAGAAGTAGTCATGTCTCAATTATATATGAGTTTGTAGTATAGAACCCAATTCTATTCCAGCAAAAGAAAATCAAATATATACTCTTACAGAATTACACATGTTGATATATTAGAACAAAACATGTCCCCTAAATGTTTTGTTTTGTCTTTGTTGAAAAAAGAGCATTAAACTCAGGAAAAAAATGTTAAAGCCAATGTTTTCCAATATGTAAAAATCCTGGACCTATGCTGGCTTACAAATTAAAATCCTAGCTTGTTTTGCAGCCTTTGTGGAGTTTGATTAGAATGATTAAATAACATGGGTTTTAAAGAGCAATGATAACCTCCCAGATGGATGCCACAAAGCACAGCTAATGTATTTTTTCTAGATGTAGTCTCAGGAGAAGGTTTCAGCTTACATGTAATACTGGCCTCAGCCACCAAGGAGCAAACTTGCTTTTAACAAGTTGAAGTGATAATCGTGATATTTTGCCCTTCAGTTAATGGTGCGAATTTAATTTCTCAATAGGCTTTTTGTACATGAGATGATCATTTAGAAGTCATCTTACTTGCAGGTTTCTTTCTCTCTATTTGAGAGATTTGTTTTCTCTGACTTTGAAAAGAAGAACCCTTTCAGAAGAAAACTCTCTCTCTTCAATAGGTTTCAGTAGTGCCCAGATCACATCATGGTTCCTGAAACATAACAAGTGCAGAGAAAAAACCTGGGGGCAGCTCCATTAGCCTTGAAGGTCAACAATCTGCTCTCCCCAACCCCACCAGTCAACATCATTGCCATCAGAAAAATTTGTGTCTTTCAGGTTTGTGCAGTTAGTTGCAGGATGAATTGTAGAATCTAACAGTTGCTCCCAAAGATTCAGTCAGATATTGCCTCCATGCTAGGAAGTTTTGTTCTCCCATGATTCACTATGCATTAGCCAGAGCAGTTCCTCAAAGCTTCATGTAGTATTGGAATTGGAATATTTGCACTGTCAGAATCTTTTTTGAGACTGGACTGAATTCAAGGGGGACTTTTCCTATGAGCTTCCATCTTGTTAGAAGATGGGGAAAGACAAAACAGGCAAAACAAACCAATTAAGCACCTTTTTTGTGATGGGCATATCCACAGCCTCCAGTGTCTTCTCCCAGGAAAGTGTTTCCATTAAGAAGAACAGGTATTTGAAGCTAAACTTTCTAGAGGAGAGGGGAGTGTGTGTTCCATTCAGCATATCGTGCTCTGTTCAGGAGACAACACTGAGAGATGGTGTGGTTTTACTGACCACATCTTGCTCTCACTGAACTACTTTATTCATGCCATTATGACTGATCCTGACCATCAGGGTTTCTGGTATCATTGAGAAGTAGCAAGCTTCCATTCAGGGTGCCTAAATCTGAGTGCTGGAGAGGCAACCAGGTTTACCTTTGCTCTGAATCAGGAATATTGGCTACAGCAATGACAATGGTCACCTCCTGAGGTGTTTTTCTATGGTAGTGAATACGAGGCAGTTTTTAGAACCTAACTGAAAAAGGTTCCAAATCTTACCTTTCAATGAATTATTTACCTAACCTATCTAGGAGAATTAATCCTGCAAAAAAGAAAAATAATAATAATACCCACTTACTGAGGCAGCTTTAAGGATTAAAGTAACACATCTGATTAAGTTAGTACAGCCCCTGAGTTACTTTAAATGCTCAGTAAATGCAAGTTGACACTGCAGTTATGTGGAGCTAAGGCTAACTAATGAGATCTATTGGGTAATGAAATCAGCCCAAAAGAAATATTATTTAATGAGATATCTTGTAGTCTGTGATATCTGTCATCTATCTATCATTATCATTTATGTTCACTTACTGTTACCAAGTAAATTGAGGAGAGAAAGAGGAGTTTTATTTCTCAGTGGTGCCAGATGAAACATGCTATTTTGGTGTCACTGTGCCATGTACCTGTTGACTAGTAACCCAGAAAACACAAGAAAACGGAAAACAAATTATCCTGGGTTAGGTGCCTGAATTCTTGTGTTAATGTGGCCTTGGGATAATTAGCATATGCAGAACAATATGGATAAATTTTCTTTATACTGAAAAACATAATCATGTGTATTTACAGGTGTGTGTGTGTGTGTGTGTGTGTGTGTGTGTGTGTGTGTGTGTGTGTGTTGGCAGACCTGGGAATTAGAGTAGGGTGACAAATACAGAGAAAAGGCTAATGCTTTATCCAAAATGTTAAGATCTGATCCAAGCAGGAAACAAAACCCTTTGATGTCATAACAAGCTTGTGTAAAGTAAAATAAGAAAACACACTCTCCAGATGAAATAGAATGATATCAGCTCCTTAGAGTACCAATTATTGTTATTAATGTATATTTGCAGAAATATTATTTTTAGGCATCCATGAGGGCGAATCATGATTCCTGCCACCTCTTTTTAACTTTTTCTGTGATATTAGGTAAACTGACTGACGGCTGATTGCTTTTGGCATGAAACAGGAACTTAACCGTGGAGAAAAGAGTTGCTTATGATTAGCGACGTGGATGTTATTTGCAAATTTAAATCAATATTTCCACATTGACTTTTGTACTTTTTTATACAATGCAGAAATAAAATTTCATTATGTAAGAAACATTAATTTTCTAAAATATTAATTGGTATACTTAGGAAATATCAGGATAATTTTTAAAATTAGGAACAGAAAAAATAAAAAGAAAGAAAAGTAGCTTCAAAAAAATATTTTCCGTGCACTGCAGATGCCATTTCTCTAGGGCATTCTTTTAGGGAACGGAGTTACATTTTTACATCATGCAGTAAAAAGCAAAGAAGCAGAATGGGATCCAAAATGTAGAAAAAGATGACCCTTAATGGGAATATAGCTGCTAAGACACTTCTGATACTTTGTCTGCAAACTAGAATTTTCTTACTTGAAATTTGTCCCTGGGCACTGTACTTTTAAATAGTGTCAGGTAGCAAACCAGTTGACTTCCTTTTTTATTTTGCAGAAAGCAGAAGCCACTGGAGAAAAACGGCCAAGAGGCAGACCCAGGAAATGGGTGAGTTAGAACATGTTGTTTATGATTTTTGCTTAAAAAAAAAAGAGATTTGATTTTTAAATGAAAAAGGAAAGTTTTATTTCACCAATTACAAGAATCTGTAACTTCTTTTATTTTTATTATTGCTTTCTGATACAGTGTAGTTGATGCTGGGGTCTCCCTTCCCCTTCTCCCAAGTTCCTTCCCTTCCCTTCTGTTCTCCCCTCCAGTCTCACAAGGGGTGTTTTTCATGAATTTTCCCAAGTCCATCATGCTGCCACTGGAGTATCTCCCAACCATGTAGGAGGCTGTTGTGAGTTCATTTCAGTATCCCAGGACCCTAATGAAGGTATAATGATGACTAGATCTTTAACTCTGATTTGATGAATCTTTGAAAAGTTTTAAGGCAAATGACAGATTATCACCAATGCTAACCATCAGACTCCGTGCATTTACTCTGAGAACTTTCTTTTCTTAAAGGCGACTTCATTTTAATATTTCCTATCAGCATCAAAATGTTCCTGTTCTTTGAAGGGGCTAACAATGAAATGACTGATTCAGTGGGTGGAGTAATTAAGGTTAAAGGGTATCATTAAACCTTGAAAGTTGCTAGCAAATGGTAGCAAAATTAGCATGAAAGGTATATGAGATAGCTTTTAATCTTTCTCCTTTTTTCCTTCCTTCTTTCCTTCCCTCTCCTTTCCTCTTTTTTTCCCTCCCTCTCTTCCTTCCTTCTTTCCCTTCTCTCTCTCCCCTCTCTCTGTCTGTCTCTCATTCTTTGTTTCAAATGTTATGGATGATTTTGCGGTTGCTGCTTTCTTTTTCACATTGCTTTGACTAGCAAATAAAGATCTAACTTCCAGTTGTTCTTGGTTCCTTCAATGGCCACACTGCGTGCTCTGACATGAGACAACTGCACCCATCCGAGTGTGCTAGATCCTGTAGGCACAGAATTCCTGCACCCTCTGAGCCCAGCAGTTCAGACATTGCTGAAGAGTTTTGCTCATTTTAGCACTTGAATCTTTACATTCTTGTTTTCACATTACCCACAGTCTTTTGGCCCATATCACCTACTGACAGAAGAGAAAACTAAAAATAAATAAAACCATTCTGAAGGGTGCAGAAGGCACCTTCTGCCCCGGTTGTCATGGCAGGGGTGGGTGCAGGGAGGTGGTGTCCCTGGCTTTCTTCCTCTTTTCTCTGATCGACTTTTTTTGCTCCATCTTCTTTCAAAAATTTCCCCCTGCTATTCTGGATTGTATTTTCTTGTTACTTTGCTATTCCTTTTACTTCTACAGTTCTGCATCACTTTTCTATTTATACTTTGGTGTTGCCTTTCATTTAATTTATTCATCTTGTTGATTTTTTTTCCCTCTGCTCAACATTTCTTAGCATAAGGGAACAAGGGTGATCTTTAGATTAAAAACATCTCTGTTACAGAGTAACCTTGTAGTAAGAAGATTTAATTCCACCTTCTGTTCCATAAATGAATTCTCTGAAGTCCACCCCTTGTATGCTGATCATCTGGCCTGAGCTTGATTACCTTTAATATTAGGGAACTCACTAGCCCTTAAGGCTGCCTTTCTTTCCCTCAGAAGCCATGAACATTGGAGTAGTCTTACACCTGACTCCTGTATCTCTTGGACTCCTGTAACTTTTGCCGCTGTTTCTTGGTCTCCCTCCTGGGAAGATACAGAATAATTGTTTTCACTTTGATTCATGACAGCCCTTCTTATATCTGAGGACAATTAACACATACTCTTTGTTCTGGTCTCTGGATTGAATATCTTTAATCCTTTCATTTTCTCCATAAAGAAGTGTGCTTGTTATTTTTTCCTAAGTGTTTGTTTTTTAATCTTTTGAAATATATCACCCAGAACTAAGTATCATATTCCAGGTGTGGGTTCCATAAGCAATGGGTTTATCACCTCCCTTGTTGTACGTATGGTTCCAGTTATTTCTTTCTGCTTAATCAATTACTTCAAAACCTGATAGTGTAGGGAAAAAATTTGTTATGCTTATGGATGCTTTGCGTTTCAAATATGATCAACACAGGGGGAAAGGTCTGTTTCTGCTCCAAGGATTTCTGGGATCACCACTGCAAGAATTCACTGGGATTTAACACTTGGGGTCTAAATCTGGAGACTTTGGATCCTGGAGGCCTGATAGGATTGGCTGCAAGTCTAGGCGTGATTGTGGATGTCCCCAGACAACTCACACAGGACCTATGAAATTTGTTGGCCTCAGTGGAGTCATCTGTTTTATGTGCAATCAAAGCACCCAGGGAGAGTGTGCTGGTGACTGAAGAGGAAGCTGAAGTCAAAAAGTTCTACTTCCGTTGTATCCTGGTGAGCACACTGGTGACTAAATTGATGATGACATCAGTCGTCTGCCATTTTCTTAGCATCAGAACTCTGAAACAACATCCATCCAATTGAACTCATCAGTAAGACAAACCTATATAACCTTCCCAATAGGAAAGGTAATAGAAAATAGATTTAACTATTTGAATTTCTGGGATTGCTATGACTAAAGGAAATAAATGGTAAAAAGATACAATAAAACTTTACCAGAAACATAGCCTCTAACTCTTCTGCCTTTCAGCTCTTTCACCTTTGGGCTAGCCTGTGTTACCAGTTTCAGTCCATGGTCACATTTATATCCTATACTCCTAAGGTTTTCCACTGGCCAACGGATGGATTACAATCTCCTTAGTACCTCCTTGCACCCCAGTTTTTATTATCACCATTGATTCCCACTACTCTTCCTCTGACAGCCAATGTTTTAGCCAAGCTGATAAAATAAACAATACGTAAAGGAGCCTTATGATTTTTTTTTCTTAATAGGTTCTTGTTAATTTGGGGTGAGAGGGGTCTGGATTTCAGGTATCAGATCTTCATGCTGGGTAAGCCGGCCATGTGTGAAGGCATCCACCATAAAAATTCTAGCCTCTCTGGAACTAGCTGGATCCTCACTGACTCTCCTAGTTTCTGATTTTTACTGGCTGCCAGCATGGAAAATACCATGTGACCAATTGTTACAAGGCCTTGATTTGGTCCCCAAAGAAGAGTTCATCTGCTTAGAAAAGGAAACAAAAGGAAACTGTGTGTTTTTTTCTCGACAGTGTGTTTCCTCTTTGCTTGCCTATCTTCTGTTGGGTAGACTGCAGCCAGTCACAGCAAGACAGTCTGTTCAATGGCTTGTACTAAAGAAATAAATCATTGCATTTTTCCATAGGAAATGGGCTTGCACTTTATAGAAAGTTCAGTTCTTTCCAACAGTGTCATTCATTGATTTCCTTGAGCTAAGGACCTATTTTTGAACTGAAATTACTAGATATATGTTTTAGAAGCCTCCTTTGCTCTTGTTTTAATTTTTTTTTATTTAAAAATATGTCCTGTAAATCTTATAGATTCGTGCAACACATTCTGAAAAAAAGTGCTAGTGCTGGAACCCTCTCCACTTGCGTAGTTAGGGCCAGTACCTAATAGGTTAATCAGACATTGATTAACCACAAATCTGTGGGTATAGAATGAGACTTTCATCAGTGATGGCTGTAGAATGGAGCATTGGCTAACTCAGGTTAGTTAGTTGCATTTAATTAACAGCACTTTTACTCTTCATTTTCCTTTGTCTTCCACTCCCACTCCTTGTATTAAGTGACAGATCTGTTATTTTGGCCAGATCATCTGGATTTTCATTTGTGGGTTTATATGTGTGTAAAGGGTAGGAGGTACAGAAAGGAGAGAGAAGTGGGGCTTAATTTTTCTTCTGCCTATTTTTCTTTGTTTAAAGCTCATAATCTAGACTCAGATGGCTTAGGTTCAAGCCCAAGCCATCTCCTGGCTATCAAGCAAATTGTACAACCTTTTTAAAAGATCCAGATATACTTCTCATATGAATTTAAAAATCTTTTGACGATTAAGTGAAGTTATGCACGAAAGGATTTAATAAAGGTAATGACACATAGTAAATCCTCAAAAGATGTTAGGAAATATGATTGGTTTCACTTTATACTTTCATATTGTTATCAACCATAGCCTATGTTTTAATTTCTTATGCTGTAGTTACTCATGGGGAGAAGTTATGACTCAGACTAAATAAGTATCCTGAGTTATACCATGTCTTCAGTATTTCTATGCTGAACTATCAAGTTTAAGAATTAATTTATTTGCAAGGGAAAGTTTTATATTGCACTTGCAAAGCATTCTTCAAAGGAGGTTCAGTATTGTGTATTGTTCATCAACTTGAAAAAGTGGTATTTCTGCTCTGCATCAAGTATACAAATGCCACAAGGTGCTTGTTCTCAGAATTTCTACTAGCCAGTTCTTCCAGTCGGAATCAGGCATTTAATACTCACGTTCTAAAATTTTTGCTTCAGAAAGGTGCTCCTCACATAAGTAGTCTAGCCATGAAATATTTGGAAAAACAGTTTTAGTGTGATGGAGCTAAAACTTAAGAATACAATGAAATAAGGAAGGTATTAATGTTACATATGAAGTGCTCCTTCCAGATATTGTATGCTGAAGCAGCCAGTGTTTTTGGAAGAAAGGCAGTAAGGACCAAATAATGATTAGTGAGCTTAGGCAATGCTTCCTGGTGTTGTGCTTTCTAGAAATGTCTATGAAAAAGGAAGTTAGCAATTGGAGGAAAAATATTCCCCAATATTAATTGATGGCTCAATGGGAAAAATATCATTCTGGCTGGCTGAAGGAGTGGGTGTGGAAACTTCTCTTGTGTTGGTCATTAAAAGTTCATAGCAATTCCCAGCTATTTTCTGGGACTGCTGATTTTCTCATTTGTTAACAGGATGTTACAGCATGTGAATTTCAAAGTATGCATTTTCATTTTAGCTCTTATGGGGGGGTAGTTGTCTTTTATTAGAGAGTCTCTGATACACAGGGAAGTGATGTAATTTCATTTGTCAGTGAAACATACACGATTTTAGAGAGACAACAAGGGCTTTTTGTTTTTTTGGTTTTCAGAAACACAGAAATTTAAATGATGATTTGAGGACTGAG